TTTTTTCTCGTGCTGCTTGTTTTTTTTTTTTTTTTTTTTAACCCGGCTCTGCCTCCCCAGGGCACTCGCCGCTCCCCAGGCCCCCGGAGCGCTGCTGGCTGGTGGCACCAAGAGGCTCCCTCTCCTGAGCATCGCCTCCGAGGAGCCACCACGCCCGTGGGGTGAGGCGCCCACAGGCCCCACGCGTCCCCGATTTCATCCGCAGGACTGAAGACGCCGTTTGTGCTGCTTCCGACAACGTGCAGCTGGAGGCCCCTGGCAGACGGGGCCGGCTGGGGAGATCAGTCAGAGCGTGCTGCAGGAGCCGCCGAAAATCCCGAGTTTTCGGCAGCTGTAGGAGTGGCCATGCTGGATGGAGCCAGGCGTACAAGGAACCAGCACCCTGCCCTGACAGCAGCCTGCAGCGGCCACGCACAGGGCAGACACACAGAGATACTTAACTGGAAGGAAGGGCCCATCGGGGATCTGCAGGCCAGAGTCCTGGACAAACCAGTCACTGAATTTGCTGCTTCTGAATTGACTAAAAAGCTCACGGCAACCAAGAGTTCACTGGTGTCCCTTCCCGTTTGTGCAGCTGGCCCGGGGTGGGGAGGGGGAAGGTGCTTGTACAAGCCCATAACCCCTAAAATTGACAGCAGATGCCCAGCCCCCATCCACAGAAAACCTTTTGTCCGTAGGACCTTTAGTTGGAAAAAAATAGAACGAGAAGCTACACAAAGCTGAGCTATATTTAGCAAAACAATGAGAATCAATAATGGCAAGGCAGAAGAAGAGAAGGAGGTGAATGCATTTACTGCCTGAAAACGTGGGAGGCTTGTGGGCAGTTGGCAGGTGAAGCACATTTCCTGTGTTACCCTCCGGACATTAAATTGCTGGAAGGAAAGATTCATCTTTGGGCAAAAGGCCTGGGCATCACCGAATTCAGCTGAAGCCCAGACTGTGTCCATCAACCAGCCCATTGCGCTCACCCCAGCACCTCGGGAATGCGCAGTGCCCGACACAGTGCTGGCACCTGCTCGGAGGTTTTAGTGACAGTTCTTGCCTCCGTTTTCCCATCCCATGAGAAGTCTCTCGCCCTAAGCTGGCAGGTAAAGCTTAGTTCAGGGGCTGTTTTGGTTTCACCCATTGCTCCATGCTGTTCTTGGAGCAGCAAGTGCAGGCGCCGCTATCTTCATCAGAAGGCTGCTTGCTCCTCTGCTGCCACGTGGAGCTATTTTGCCTGGAAAAGGTACAGGACTGAGTAAGACTCGGTCTTTGCCAGCAGAAGGGATAACCACGCGCATAACTATGAATGGTACTTGCAGTTACCATGCACCTTCAAATGCAGGGTATACAGCCGCTGCAGCTCTTCGTATATACGTGTGCCTATACATGGACATTATTTGCCCCAGTGTTTAGGTGCTAACATTTTAAAGTTCAGCGTAAGAGAGACTTTGCCCTCAGTCCCACTTAATCATAAATGTGTACATACATGCGTGCATGTGTTTCCTCAGACCGGATAATTTAATCTTCTTAGTTTCATATTATATAATGGGAGCGCATGTGGGTGTTTTACATCAGGATTCAGCAAGCTTCTTCTTTGTGCCAGATTAAAATGAATCACAGGGAGCTGATCTAGCCCCTGCAAGCGCATGGAAATTTGGGTGGGTGCAAATAAGCCCACTGTGAAAGGTTAACGCAGCGCTTAATGGGAGGAAGCAGGCTGACTCGCTGCCTTACTACGCCAGAGCAGAGTTTCCCCAGCAGCGGACGCATCCAGCTCGCGCCCGTCTGGTGCCGGGTGTCTGCCGCTGATAGGACTGTACAAACAGGGAAGATGGCTTGGAGGCAGAGAGAGAAGTAAGAAGACAAGTCCCAAAAGCGCTCAGAAAGGCGGAGTGCATGGTGGACGGGAAGCCATTCCCGGTCAGGTCACCGGCCTCGCAGCAGGGATTCCCCTGGCGTTGCTCCTCGCCTCGGGGAGATGCACAGCCGTACCGCTACTGGCTTTGCTAACACGGGCGCTGTCCTCAGAGAAGGCAAGGCTAGACTTCTAACAGTTTTTTGGAAGCTGAAAGACCGAGGTAGATGCCTCGTGGTGTGTACAGAGGCTGGAGGACAGCTCTGGGAGGAGAGGCGCGGGGTGCTTTCGGTGGTGTCCCTCAGTATCATTTCGTCTCCTGAAAACAACTGAGCCATCTGCTTTGAACTGCCCTCATCGCCCAGACCGTCCAGCTGAAACACAGGACACCAGATGGGGCCATATCTCAGTTCCCGCTGAAGTTTAACCAGGAACGTGTCCACCCGTCTGTCCCTCTCAGACATGCACGTACTTGATACACGCTTCCTGGTCTCGTCCCTACAAAATAAAGGCCAAGGGAAAAAATGAGAGTCCTCAGAGTCCCTCTTGCACCAGATGCGCTAAACCATCTCTGTAAAAGCTCTTCCAGATTCAGCAGATTGAGGTCCAAGTTTTCCCTTCCACGTGCTGGGCCTGGGCTGGTCGTGGTGGGGCCTCGGGTCTCGTGCTGCCCAGCGCTGGGGGATCAGCACCAGGCTGAGCAGAGAGCTAGCGGGACCCGTGCGGGCCTGGCTCTGTATTTTACGCGCTGGTCTGCGAATAAAGAAATCTACAGCGCAGACCTGCAGAAACGGCAAATCCCTTTGGCCTGGGCAGCTTTCACACTGCCGATAGAGAGCTCTTGCCGAAGTCCTTGGGTTTAAAGGGAGGTTAAGGGCTGGCTAGGTGGAAAGCGCGTTCCTTTTTAGATATCTAACTCTTGATACAACCAAGTGCCTGAAAGAGACCTTTGGAGAGGGACCAGGGCTCTCCCTCCTCATCTTCCCCGCTCCAGGACTCCTGCAGCCATCACTGAGGAAAAACAGATCAGATGAACTGTTCACTCGAAGCTTCGACGGCAAGGAAAAACCCGGGCTGCTTTGGCATCTGGGTGGCTGTTTTTGCATCCAGGCTGGCACAGGCAGATAGTTTTGTGGTTCCACCTAGATAACAAACAACCTTTTGGGAGAGAAACTAACAAAAATCCCCAAAGGCGTCTGCGCCGATCACGCGGATTACTTCTCATTGGCTTGGTGAGCACATCAGCCTCAGCCCTGGTAAATTCCCATAGGGAGCCATCGAGATTGATGCTCTTATAATTCGTTTTGGCTCTAAGCCAGTAAGAGATTTATTCATGTGATTAACCATAAGCACGTTAACAGCGCTTTTGGAAGAAAAGGCACACCTCGCATGATTTCCATCAGCGCCACTTGAATGCTTTGCTGGATCAGGCGTGGCCTAGCATGTGTGGGAGCGTTCAGGCATCCCCGTGGTGGATGAACTTTTGTAAGCCTGGAGAGAGATTCGGGATAAAGGGGAGTTATCCAAGGATAGCTGTACCTTGTTCTTGTTTAGTGCAGAGGAGTTGTTTTACCCTGTTCTGTGGCACTTACCTTAATAAGAAAATGTTTTCGTGTGTAGATAAGCCTTTGTATTAACAGCTCAGCTGAAAGTAAGGGAGCCCCCTTAACCCTTCACCTGCTGAGCCACTGCCTCAGAAACCCCCACGTCCCAGCAATCAGGTTTTATTGTGCCCCTGATCATAAAAGGCCAAATTCTCACTCCTCACGTGATGTAAAACAAGAGGAGCTTCCTTGCAGTCCGTGGCTCCACAGCTGTAAGACAGGGCACAGGGACAGAAAATAAAACAGGATCAGATTATACTATTTCATTAGAAATTAGAATGAACTACTCTGTCCTCCCCCTGCCCCAATGATGGGAGCAAGATGCAAGCACTTCAAAGTGCCATGCTTTGCTTTTTGGTTTCAGTCAGTTCTAGTAAAAGGAGCTCGACGTGTCCTGATTTCCACTTCTAGTCCTTGTCCAACGTGCTCACCAGATCCCCCGTTTCATTGTCGCACGTTTTTGCATTAAACACTTGGAACAACTTTGTCATCTGGGGGTAGAAACAGCAGCGCTTAGACTCTCAGCTGGGGTAAACTGATTTCCAGGGAGCTGAGCTGATTGAAACCAGATGAGCTCTCATGGCTTTCTCCCTCCTCCCCCTTAATTCTATAAATCTCTGTAATATTTTGTTTTTCAGGAAAGTATAAAATAATGAAAGACAAAGAAGTAATAACAGCGATTCACTCCTACCTTACAAATTTGTAGCGATCTAGCAGCAAAGGATGGAGCAGCATGGGGGTGAGGAGAGGGCCCTTGCTATTCCCGAGGAGGACATCTGTGCCTAAGCGCGGCCACGGCGAAATAAAACTGCTGTGGG